TACTATAAGGACTAGATGAATTAATCCATGTAAAATGCTTTTTTTAGTATCTTTTATAAGGTCAAGCATTCAATAAAGGTTAGTTTATTCAGAGCAGCATTCTCCTACACGAGATTTAAAATGATGACCTACCCAAAATGATGATGACAAGACAGACCCATTCCCAAAACATTAGCCAGATATATACAATGCAGAATGAGAAAAAAAACTGCTTTAAGTTTCATTCAACATGTAATCTCAATGTAATAATTCACTGATTTAATACTATATATTTGTCTGACATAACAGAAACATATATTGATGACCTTTAATGTATTGGATATTTTATAAATATTTGATATACTGACCAAAATGCAGAATAATGAACAAACACATTGCAATCCCTTCTTCAAAAGTCACTGGTACTTGGTGAGGGCACTCATATATCACAAGCTAAACTCCTAATCCTACTGTAAGTTATTCTAAGTTACCTCACACTTGCAACTAACAAATACTTACCATTCCCACTGCATCTTGGTCAAATGGATTCCATTCTACATTCTCGGGATAACGGGCAAGGACCTTAGACTTGAATGTTCGTCTCAATGGTGTCTGCTCAAAATTTTCTCCTGTAAAAGATCAAAGCAAATCATCTCTACAAAGTCCATTTATATCACAGGGCTATAAACATCTGAGCTTGGCAGTCCAGCAAGATATAGAAATGAAGGCAAGGGGGTTAGTATGCCAACCATCTAAGAATAGTAAAGTATTAAAGTTATTAGGTCATTAAAGAAGCTGAAAAAGTATAGCATAGTTAATAGTGGACACAGCTACTTGTCTTTTTTTTTCTTCAAAATGAAATTATTACTACAATCTCAATGGTTAATTTACTTGGAATAGAGGGAAGAAAGCCCAAGAAATAATAAAAGATTGTATCCATCCTTTCATCCCCAAAAGTCATACTTTGTTTATAATATGAAAGCATCATAGAAGCGTAATATTTTAAATTAAGAATAAACTATACATTTCTATGATCACTGAAAAAAATAGACTACAATATACAAGAACATTAATAAAGCACATTTCAAAGTAAATCTAATTAGCTGTTTTGTCAGTTCAGAATCATTTGAAATTTCTACAATTCTCCTTTGTTTCTTGCTTCCTCCTTCTAAAAACAGAGTACACTTCAGTAAAAACTTTAAAGTAAGGAGGGGAAGAATCAAAGAACCCTCCACCTAGAGAGATACAAATCTGAAAGAATCTACTGGTATAAGAAGGTTAGAAGGTTAAAGCGTACAAAATACCACTGGAGAGACATGTTACGAGCCACCAGAAAGCTTTGGGTGTTCTCCATTTTGTTTTGTTTTTACCTTCAGTCGTACTGGAAATGAAAGGGCTGGCACCATCCCTGGCTTTAGAAGCCTGAATGTACTGGCATAATGCTATATGATAAATGAAATAACAGAATGTTACAATAAAGCAGTGTTATTTAAACTTTTTGACCATGACACCAGCATAAAACATATTTTATACCATAAAGCAATAATGACATATATGTATATATAATATAAATAATATATAAATTTTATATAACATATAAATATATTATTTATATATAATACAATGTAGTACAAAATACAATATATAAATTTACCTAAAGTAAAAATCTCATAAAACAATATTTACCCTTACTATGTGATGCCATCTCACATATTCTACACTATATTATTAAAATAAAAAATGATAGGGCCAGGGAAATGGCTCAGTAGAGTAAGCACTTCCCTGGCAAACACAAGGATCTGAGCTCAATCCCCAGTTCCGCCAAAAAAAAAAGTGGTGATTGTAATCCACTAATGGTAGTGATTCAGTTTGAAAAAATTACAATAAGGTATAATAAAGAGCTGAAATTATATCAAATTATTACAAAAGTAATTAGCTTTATTCAGAAGCAGACTTAAGGAATAGGTAGTAGTAGACAAATGCACCCAAAACACCTCAAAAAGATAAGTTTAGTAGTAGATGTCATAGAAAAATACATGAAAAACATGGTCAAGGGTGAGTCAACTGAATTTTATGTATATTACTAAATAATCATGTTCGGTAAGAGGCCCAGGTACTGTGGGGGACAGAGATGAGCCACATAAAGAATCTACCCTTACCCTAGTAAGGATCTCACTGTCAAGTGCAGAGGAAAAGGACACAAATAACAACTTAACAGGGAGGTTATTATCTTCTAGATCTCCAGCCTTGTGGTCTACCATTCAGAGAACACTCGCACAGGATCCTGCTTGTGTGCTCCAGTTCACAGAAGAAATTCTGCTCCAACTATAGTTTTCTAAGGGGCTTAAAATTCAAAAGGGCTGAAGATGACTAAGGAAGACACATACTTCACCATCACAGGATGAGAGGACCTAAAATCAGAGTGTCTCACCCTAAATCAGCTCATCCTAGAAGCACCTTACAAATTTCTTAAAGAGTTTATAGTAATTCTGAGGTACCTGTTCCAAAAATTAACAAGAATTCCAGTCCAAGTTATTCCTTCTATAACTCAAATCTCTGCATTTACTCTGAGTCTTCTTATCCATTCTTAGAAGAAGCCCATTTATTAATCATTTTCAACTTCTGACAAGTTAGTAAAGCAAGTATCACATTTTTAATTCCTCTCATTTCCAGATCCTTTCCTCCAGACTGACTCTTCTGAAACTTTTTTAAAAGCATATTTCACCTTTCAAAAATATATCTGGTAATTTTCATTCAGAGTGACTGAAAAATCAGGCGTCAGCTGGCAGCAGTTACAGCAACAAAGGCCTATGACTTATGTTGAGCCAGGCTCGCCTTCAGTAGCACCTGCTAAGAGCCCACCTATGGCAAGCCTGTGCTTAACCACACAAAGTAACTCAGCAGCAAGCAGCTCACACAATAACCTTCTCTACAGTGTGAAATTCTCAGAAAGTATTTTTAAACTACCTTCAGTTCTGAGAGAAGATAATTATTTTTTCCTTCTAAGCTTCTTCACTTTTAGTTGTCACTTTGCTCATTTCTTTCTAACTGGGTCAGAAAATCCCCTCAGGAAAAAACATAAAATACCTGAACATACACAGGAATCCAGGCAGCTCCACTGTCCTATATGAAAGCCTTTTAGGATATTCTTCTAAGGTGATTATGAGCTGCCCTCTAAGACGGGATGAGCAATCAGGTAATGGAAGAAGGGACTATGTAGGAGGAGTAAATAAACAGCCAGGGAGATCAGACTGCAGTCAGAGGGCATGGTGGCACATGTCTGTAATCCCAGGACTCAGAAGGCTGAGGGAGGAGGATCACCATGAGTTCAAAGCCAGCTGATCTGCAATGTAGCTAAAGAGGAGTGAGACTATCAATTACAGACAGAGGTGGCCCCTCAAGCCTCTATCCCTTCTATCACCTCTTTACCTCCTTCTTTAAACAAACCAAAAGAAAAATATAAAAATGTTAAAAGTGTCGGGTATAGGCCAGGTGTGGTGGTACATTCCTGTAATCCCAGCACTTGGAGGCTAAAGCAGGAGGATCGTTCCGAGTTTGAGTCCAGCCTAGGCTACAAAGTGAGCTCAAGGCCAGCCTGAACTGTATAGCAAGACCCTCTCTCAAAAAAAACAAGTGCCAGGTATGACAGTGCACACACCTCAGGAGGCTGAGGCAGGAGGATCACTGCAAATTTGCAGCCAGCTATGGCCATATAAATGAGTTCAAGGCAAGCTTGGACTATAGACTGGTACCCTGTCTCAAAAACAACCAAAACCAAAACAATAAACAAGCTGAGGGAAGGACGTCTTGCCAAAGAGTTAGGTTCTAAGAAAAGTTAGCTACCAGGTGCCAACCTTTACCACAAGTCCTGCAAATTAAGACTGGACCGACAGCAGGGGCACTGTACTGTCCCTGTAAGGAGAAAAGAAGTATATAGAAAGAAATGCGAGGCATTGGCCAAGCATTGGCCGTGACTCATCCACATGGCTGCACTGATAAAGGTTCTACAATCTGAGGTACAGGATCTCAGGACAAATCCTGAGG